CACTTGTCTCCCTCCCTCTGACTATTTCTTTCCTTCCTTCCCAGTTAGTGTAATACAGCCTCTTCTTGGACAGGTTCACTGATGTTCTTTAGGGGAGGGAATCTGGCATCCCTACCTGCTGTGTTCTATGTCTGACTCCAGTCCCACAGCAGTGTGGTTGACTCCTAACTAGCTCTCCAGGCTATCTCCAAAGGTAATCATTTCAATGGCAAATGGCAGTTAGGAAGAGGAACAAATGCTGGCCCTGCCAGTGATGCCTGTATTCCATGAAGGATTTTTTTTTTAAAGACTGTCTAACATCCATCCAAACCATATATCATTTATCCATCCATTCTCTGTAGTCATTGTTCTATCCTAAACTTTGCTTTTCTTTCCCAAATAATAAATTATCTTGCATTTTATCGTCCCATCGTTCTGAGTGTCCCGCAGTATAGTGACTCACTGCCCACAACACAGATTGGTCCATGCTCCAAAGCCGTGCTATGTGACTCTATCAATGGCTGTGTTCTTGATCTCATCCTCTTTACTACCTTTGACAGCGCTAATCAATCCATCCTCCTTTGTTTCTCCTTCTGTCATCCACCAGGCCGTAGCTATCCCCATCGTCGGTCACGAGGTGTCATATCTCCATAGACCTTACTGTCGTGTCCCATGATCAGTGCAACCCCTGACCTCATCCCAAATATTTTTCAGATCATTAGTTACCTTATATTCATGTAATGTCTAACTTTGTGTGTATCTTGCACTGCTCCAATGCTTCCTGACGGCAAACCCACTCATTTCCTGTCTGCGACCTGGATGAGGTAAAATTTTCTATAGTGTTAATAAAGCCATCCTCTGCTTTTGATTTCACCTACATGTCTGTGTTTTTGGTTGCATGAAATTCTTTGGCTGCCAGTGCAAGTTGAGTCCAGAAGTGCATGTTCCACTCCTGCAGAGTTGAGTTTCCTTTCCACTTCTGGCCCCTCAACAAAATTTGCCATCTTCCATCCCCAACCAATGCATCCAAAATGCTCAACTGAATTTTTCACAAAGTAAAGTTGTTCACAATACTGTGGCAAATTTTGCTATTCGCACAAAGTTGTGCTTTTTTTTTTATTACTCTGCCAAGTTCTGCTGAATGTAATTAAGTATTTGTCCGAGCCGGTGTGTTTGATTGCAGACGTTTCATCACCCTGCCTCTGTTCTGCGCCCTTTTAAAGCACACTCGTTATTTCATACTGTCTGTGCATGTTCTTCCTACCAAAATACATCACCTCATACTTCTCTGTATTGAATTCTATTTGGCACCTGTGCACCCACTCCACCAACCTGTCTCTGGCCTTTTAAAATTCTGTACTGTCCAAAACAGTGAAATCCAAGTCTTTGAAATTATCCCCTGTATACCAAGATCTAGCTCATTTTATATGTCAGGAAAAGCAGGTATTCCAAACCAACCCCTGGGGAACTCCACAAGAAGCATTCCTCTAGCTTGAAAATAATTAGTTAATCATTATTCTGTTTTCTATCACTCAACCAATGTTGTATCCATGTTGCTACTGTCCTCTTAGTCCATGAACTATAACTTTTCCCACACATCTGTTGTGTGGCATGCCTTCCTGAAGTCCAACAATATGTTACCCTCATCAACCCTTTCTCTTACAACTTCAAAGTTCGCCAGCAAATAGGCGGCATGATGGCTCAGTGGTTAGAACTCCTGCTTCACAGCACCAGGGAGCCGGGTTCAATTCCACCTGTCTGTGTGGAGTTGGCACATTCTCCTTGATTGAGTGAGTTTCCTTTGGGTGTTCCAGTTTTCTTCCATAGTTCAAAGATGTGCAGATTAAGTGGATTGATCATGCTAAATTGCCTATAGGGTCCAGGGATGTTTACACCAGGTGCATTAGCCTGGAAACTGCAGGGTTACAGGGATAGGGGAGGGGGTGATGGGTCAGTGTGGGATGCTCTTCAGAGGGTCAGTGTGGACTCAATGGGCCAAATGGCTTACTTCCACACTGTAGGGATTCTACAATTCTTTGAATTTATTTAGAAATCCATGCTGGCTCTTCCTAATCAACCCATTTTTCTTTCTAGAAGCATCCCCCTCCACTGAAGTTAAACATATTAGTCTGCAATTGCTGTGATTACATGGGGTCCCTGATTTATGAATGTCTAAATTATGAACGCTTGTACTTACGACCATGATCCCACGCAGAAGTGTGTTGCATGAATTTTTAAAGACCCAACAGATGGATACTTATTTGTACTTACGAAAGACTTTTTTGTATCATCTTATGCTGTGTTCCAACTTGCATACAAAGTGAGTTGCAACAGTCTCAAGAACAGAGCCTGTTTGCAACCTGGGGAACTGCCTGTTTTCTTACAGCCTTTTTGCACAAGGGCATGATGCTTCAGTTCTCCAGTCTTATGCCACCTTCCCTGAAAACCTAGGGAATGCTGAAAGATTATGGCCAGTGTCTTTGCATGTATCTCATTGGGACCTATAATTTATTCGTGCTGCTACATTTTAGTTCTTATGCATCTTTTATACAATCCCTCTAGAAATCTAGTTTGTCCTTCCGAGTGGGGAGAAATCGATAGAAGTTGTCAATAAGCTTATAATACAATTCACTGAGCCTGTGGTAACTGCATCTTTACGTACCACTACTTTATCACATTGCCCTAACTTAGCTTCATTACTGTCTAGCTCACTCTTGATGGTGGAGCAGATTTTTCTACTCTTCACACTGGAACTTGATGACCCTCGGTGGACGATGCTGAGTGGCATAGTTGAAGTGGGGTAGAGGAATGCTGTCATTCTGATCATCTGTTGTAGCTTACAGTTGAGTGGTTCAGTGTGATCGTGAATGAATCTGGGTTGGATCCATTGATGCACACTTTGTTAGTCTACCTTAAAGGAGTAAATTTCCACTTTCAGATTAGCATTATAGAGATTTCTTTCAGAAAATAACATTTTGGAAGTCTAATAGGAGTGCTTGAAATGTGACAATTTGCTAAGAGTGGTAAAATGGTGAGTCATTTAGACCTGTGGTTCTCAAATTGCCCCGCCGCTTCCATTTCTTTGTAGCAATTTCTGGCCTGTTATTGACTAATCACAGCAATCAAATTCTGTAAATTTTTCACAGTCTCCGCCATTGTTGTATTAAGCACTCGGCCAAATGAGAGAAAGCAAACTTTGGTCTTTTTTTCAGTCAGTAATTCCATTGTTCCTAAACTTTACAACAATGAGATATTCACTCACCAAAAAAGAGGGAAAAAAGGGAGGAGTTACTTTGCACAATGCAACTACAGGTCAGCATTAGAGAGATGATGGATAAGTCACCAGTTGCATTTTTATCTTTTGCAACTAGTTAGAAAGAACTATAGGAAGGCACAGGTATTTTAATTTCATGTAGGAGGAAGGAAGAAATTATATATGGCTGTTCTCTTCCACTGTGTAGTTCACTCATGGCACTTCTATAATCAATTGAACAATATGGGACACTTGCTGAAAAAATATAGTGTGAACCTTTAGTGATCCATTTATTATGAAATTTGTGTAAATTAGAGTCTCTGTTTTTAACAAATTCTGCTGTAAGAGCATGATGCTCCTTGTTATTATCCTTTCAATGTTCTTGTGACAGTGCTTGATTACAGAAATGAGCAGATCAATAAGTCAAATGGCCAATTGAGTCTATTTGGAAAATCTGCTGCAAGATCCAGTAAATTAGTTGACATTCATTGTGAAAACCTGTCAAATATAAAAACTCGTTTGAACCTGAAATTGCTATCTTCCCCCTTTACTTTCTTTCTTCCACCCTGCACTTTTTGGAAAGGGATTGAGAGCTGAAAGAATCATTCTTGCAAAAGAAACTATGTTATCAGTCCTGATGCAATATTTGGAAGAAAGTTTTTCTCAACATTCAGCTTTATTTCTCTTTTGTTATATGTCTAACTCAGCATTTGCAATTTTCTGACTACTTAGTCTTGTTTGCGTGGCTGGGGGTGGAACTCTGACTTCTATTTGGGAATACAACCTGTTAGAACTGAATCGCCTGATGAACTCCTGATAACAGGGGTCTTAGCAGAAATGTGTTAAGCTACGGATGTTGCTTTTCCTGTCTAGTCTCAAAACTGAGGTGAATTTCTAAGGTTCCACCATAGCCTCCGTAGAAGCTTTATGGAAACACTTGCGTAGAAGCTGTCATTGGCCAGGTTTCTCAACTGTCTCCACCTGAAGTCTGCTGGAGTTCCTTCAGGCGATGCGAAAAACCTGCAGAAATTCCAAACAAAAATGCCAGTGAGACCAAGCAGGGTCGTGGACACCAGAATTATGTAAGGAGAGGGTGTGATTTAGGTCCAAAATAAATTGAAAGTTACCATTGCTTTAGGAAATGTGTTCAATATGGGTGATATGTAAGGGGCCAGATTAACATGATAGATCGTGTTCTCCAAAGTTATCATTAACCAGAGATGATTAATAAATAAATCTGACTTCAGAGCTTTTTCTGAGGGGCCCTGAATGCTGAGCAGATAGAGAATTTACATCACACAATGAAAGTCGTCAAAATACTTTTTTCATCCAAAATAAAATCCTGTCAGTTTGTCAAATTTTCATAAATGATTCTGGAGCTTTCTTGTTAACAGCTTTTTTAAAAATAGTGTACCTTAAATACTGTGCTACATTTTCATGTATTATTTAACCTGTAGATGGAGATTAATTTTGATCTGTACACCATTATTGTTGAATAAAATTATGCACCTTTTGAAGAAGTCTTGGGACTGGTGGCGATCTCCATTACAGTGTAAGCTGGAGTTAGGCAGTGCTTGTCAATCCTGGGAATTCTACTTGCTGCATAATGAATAAGGGGCAGACTTATCAAAGGAGACTTGGTCTCTTTGTGAGCACGATGCAGTTGTTGGAAGAAAGCCTGAAATTCAACAAGTGGCATTTGAGTCGTACATTGATGAAGAAAACTTTATCTCATTCATACTTTTCACCGTCTTTCCTCGTTTTACAGGGATGGCTAATTTGTGAAGAGCAAACTTGCCAGAATCGCACTCGTCACCTTCCACTAAACTTTTCTCGAAATGGTCCAATGTGCCAAGCTTGTACAAAGGCTACACTTAAACCAGAGGTAACAAATTTTGCAATTATGTTATTGAGTAGTTAACTTTTTTTTCTTGAGGTGCCATTAATGATCTATATTTTCTGTAATATGTGAGGTATCAGTCAATAAGTAATTTAAATGCTCTGGTATTTGATGATTAGAATGCAGAAATTTACAGTACCAAGTATATTAGTATACAAATCTGTATAACAATAGCCAAGCTCGCTCTATAACAGCTATTCATTTAGTCTACTCTCCCACCTTTCATTAATAAGCCATTTACATCTTTGCAAATATTTTCTGAATATTAACTGTGGAAAATATTCCATGAACTAACAAATCTCAAAGTATAAGAAATTCCAAGTATTTTCTTCATTATTTTGATGATTGTGACATTTACTGACTTGCTAGCCAATCAAAAGTTATGCCCTGTTGTCTTCTAATTCTTCATAATTAGAATGCCTGATCTGATCCTTTACTGCATGGTGCACAAAGATGCACAGATTCTAATCTCTCCACATATCTAAGCACTTGAACACAGATAGTGTACTAATTAACCTCTCGTTGTATACAACATAATGGGGTACATCTATGCTGTGTCCCTGGCAGCCTCTTAAAACAAAACGCTAAGCTCATTAAAACCTCATTAAATCGGGGCTCTGTGCATGTTCCAGAGAACTTTTGGTGCCTGGTAACATTTTATTTTTCTCATTGCTGGAGGCTCCCTACCCTCCCATTCACACAAGCACAGCATAAATGATGCACTGGTACTCAATAGGATACGCTGTAGATGGAAGGGCAAGTTGCAAGGGGGTTACAAACAGTTTACAGGGAACTGTTGATCGGTTAAATGAATGGGGTGATAAAAGTTGACAAATGGAGTGTAAAGTGGGCAAATGTGAAGTTGTTAATTTTGGAAGGGAGAACAAAAGAACTGTATTATTTAAATGGAGAATAGCTGCAAACAAAAGGATTTGGGGGTACTTGTGCATGAAATAAAGAAAGCTGGCACACAGGCACAGCAAGTAATCAGGAAGGCTAACGGAATGTTAGCCCTTATTTCAAAAATAGGGAAGTTTAACTGCAACTGCTCCAGGTGCTGGTGAGACCACTTCTGGAATACTGTAAGCAGTTTTTATCTCATTAATTGAGGAAAGATGTGGTGTCATTGAAGGCAGTTCAGAAAAAGATACACTTGGATAATCCCCGATATGGAGAAATTGTTTCAGAAGCAAAGTTTAAACATCAGCAATATCAGTGAGTTGACTCTCTGTAGGGACATAAAACAGATGACAGATACCCTGTTTGCCTAACAAGAGCAATACATTGCATTTTCATTTGCAGCTGCTTTTGAGGGGAGATTTGCCGTTGAGACAACTATGAATGAAACCTAGGATGATGGGATGTTATTTCACTAACTCTTTGTTAATTATAATTTTAAATCTCCTGCCGCTTTGAGTGCATCTTACTTATTCTTTCAACAGACAAATTAGTCGACCAAATTTGAATCTTTGGTCTCCATTTTTCTCTTCAAAAACTCGAACACAGCTCTACTTTTAGAAGCTGCCTCTGTGATCACAGTTTTGCACCAGATATTACCGTTTTTGATTTCCGTGTCAGCAGACACTCCTGTGAGTGGACTTTACACCCACGTAGTTTGGATGGGCACATGTTGCCGCCAAGTTAAATCACGGCATTTTCCATATATTATTGTAGAGTAGAAAGAATAAATGTGAAGGATATTTACAAGCTACTTAGCCAACCAGAAACGTGAGTATCGTTAATCACTTAGCCTAACAAATAGAACATCTCTAATGTTCTATCTCTATGTTCTGATATTTTTCAGCTCTTTTGTGAAGTTCTATGTCTCTTTAAGTTTATTGTAGCTATTAATTGCTTCAGTGTATTTAAACATTTCACTTAATTTTCTAAATCGAGTTACTATATGCTTATTTGTCAAAGAAAATCTTTAAAAGTTACCTCAATGAAGGAAACTGTCAGCATTGGCTCCTAGGAAAGCAGAGGTTAAAGGGGGACATCTCACTAGTCAGGAGCCATGCCCTATCCATTGCAGCATCCATTTTTCTAGAAAATTTTAGGGAGCCTAGCTTGCATGGAGAGGAGAAGCTAATAATGTCAATTCATATGACAATATATTGAGACATATTAGGTGCCCCGCTGGACCTTGAGCTGAATTGTAAACTCCACATTTACTTAATCAAATTACTGAACTTAATCTCTAGTTTCACCCATGTATACTTCCTGCTCATTGCCAATGTCACTGAAATTCTCATGCACATTCTTGTCACCTCTTTCCTTGTTCTTCTCCTACCATCCACATTATGTAAACTCTGATGATTCCCACAGACCGTAAGATATGGGAGTAGATTTAGGCCATTTTGTCCATTTGAGTCTGTTCCACCATTCAATTGCACCTCCTCCATGATAATCCTCAACACTGGTGTCCCACAAGGATGCGTTCTCAGTCCCCTATCATACTCCATTTATGCACACAACTGTGTAGCCAAATTCTGAACGAACACCATCTACAGGTTTGCCGCCGACACCATCATGGTAGGACAGATATCAAACAACGATGAGTCAGAATACAGAAAGGAGATAGAGGACCTGGTGACGTGGTGCCGTGATAACCTCTCTCTCAACATCGGCAAAACAAAAGAACTGACTTTTGACTTCAGGAAGAAAGGAGGATGACACATCCCTATCTACATCAATGGAGCTGAGATGGAGGGGGTCGAGTTCATAGGAGTGACGATAATTGACAATCTGTCCTGGACTTCCCATGTAGATGCGACTGTCAAGAAGGCACAACAACGCCTCTTCCTCAAGTGGCTTAGGAAATTTGGCATGTCCATAAGGACCCTCACCAACTTTTACAGATGCACCACAAAAGCATTTCATCCAGATGCATAACAGCCTGGTATGGAACTGCCCTGCCCAGGACTGTGAGAAACTACAGATTTTTTTTGTATACACAGTCCAGACCATCATGGAAGCCAACCTTCCATCCATGGAATCCATTCACACTTCTCATTGCTGTGGAAAGGCTGCCAACATCATTAAAGAACCCTGCCATCCTGGTCATGCTCTCTTCCAACCTCTTCTGTCAGGCAGAAGATACAGAAGCTTGAACGCACTCTCAAACGAGTTGAAGAACAGCTTCTTCCCTGCCATGATTAGACTGATGAATGGACTGTCTAACTTCAAATAATGTCGATCTTGCTTTGCACACCTCCTGTGCAGCAATAACCTTGTATGCCTTGCGGTGTTTTAGCACCCTATTATTGTATATCCTTGTCCACTATAAACTGCCTGTACTGCTCGCGCAACAAAGCTTTTCACTGTACTTAGGTACATGTGACTACAACAAATTAAATCAAATCATTTTTCTCAACCTCATTTTCCTCCCTTCTCTGGTAATCCTTGACCCGCTTACAAATGAAGAACCTATCTATCTCTGTCTTAAATACACTTGTTGGCTTGGCCTCCACAGTCGTCTGCAGCAATGAGTTACACAGATTCACCACCCTCTGGCTGAAGAAATTCCTTCTCATCTCAGTTTTAAAGAGTGGTGCCTTCATTTCTGAGGCTGTGCCCTCAGGCCTTGGTCTTTCCGATTAATGAAAACATCTTTTCACATCCACCCTATCCAGGCTTCTCACCATGCTAAAAGTTTCATCAGATCCTCCCTCATTCTTCTGAACTCCAAGTACAGACCCAGAGTCCTCAAATGCTGTCGGTATGACAAGCCCTTCATACCTAGGAACATTCTTGTAAACTTCCTCTGGACCCTGTCCAATGTTAACGTGTATTTTCTTCGATACGGGGACCAAAACTGCTCATAATATTCCAAATATGGTCCTTTACAGCCTCAGTAGTACATCCCTGCTCTTGTGTTCTAGCCCTTTTGAAATAAATGCGAACATTGCATTTGCCTTCCTAACTGCCAACTGAAACTGCATGTTAATCTTAGGAGAATCCTGAACTGGCACCCCCAAGTCCCTTTGTCTTTCAGCTTTCTGAAGCCTTTCCCCATTTAGAAAATAGACAATGCCTCTATTCTTCGTACCAAAGTGCATAATCTCACACTTTCCTTCATTGTATTCCATCTGCCACTTTGCTGATTTGCCTAGCATGTCCAAGTCCTTCTGTAGCTTCTCTGCTTCCTCAACGCTACCTGACCCGCCACCTATCTTTGTGTCACCTGCAAACTTAGCAACAATGCCGTAAATGCCTTCGTCTAAATTGTTAATATATAATGTGAATAATTGTGGTCCCAGCACTGACCCCTGCAGAATTTCACTAGTCACCGATTGCCATCATGAAAAAAGACCCCTCTATCCCTACTTTGTGCCTTCTGCCAGTCAGAATCCTCTGTCCATGCTAGTACCTTGCCCCTAACACCATGGGCTCTGATCTTATTTAGCAGTCTCCTTTGTGCCACCTTGTCAAAAGCCTTCTGGAAATCCAAATAGATCATGTCCACAGGCTGTCCTTTGTCTAATTTGTTCATGACCTCCTGAAAGAATTCTAACAGATTTGTCAGGTATGATCTCCCTTGATGAAGCCATGTAGACTCTGCCCTATTTTAACATGCACATGCAATCTCATCCTTAAAAATGGGCTCTAAAATCTTACCAACAACCAAAGTTAGGCTAACTGGCCTGTTTCTGCCTTCCTCCTTCCTTAAACAGGGTTGCTCTATTAGCCATTTTCCAGTCATCTCGGACCCTCCCTGACTCCAATAATTCCTGCAAGATCACCACCAATACCTTGACATTCTCCTCTGCTATCTCCTTCAGAATCATGAGGTGTAGCCTATCTGGTGTGGGTGACTTATTCACCTTTAGATCTTTCAGCTTCCCTAGCACCTTCTCCTTGGTGATTGCCTGTACTCTCGCCTCTGCTTCCCCCTGCCAATAATATCTGAACCTTTTGGTTTTCATGGCTTCCTTCTTTTCTACTTTGCAGACTATTCTTGCCTAAGTTATGGTGAGTAGTTACGG